AACAGCTATGGACTTTTTCCTCCCTCAAATGTGTTTAAACAGAATCAAGATTCAAGAGGCTGAGACTTGAGAAGTTGATGTATTTCTACCCAACCTTCATAGGGAGCAGCAACTGTGTCAGGTCACACAGTTATTCATCCATCCTCTCCTTAATACAATCCAGAGAGAGTTATTTCATAGTTCCCTTTCCAGAACAATCCTCAAGTATAACCCATATTATGTTGTATTATAAACATATGTAAACCTCAATAGACTGTATGCTTCTCTGGGCAGGAGCTGGGTTTTGAGCTCAGCACACAGCAGAAGCACACTAGCCATGTGAAGAGTGGGTAAAATAAACAGGAGAATCTGGCCGCAGGTATTCCATGAAGTAGCTGGTGCAATTCTCAGTGTACCCCCTTAACCCTTTGAAGTGAAGAACTTAAGGAAGGTTTTCAAAATGAATACTTCCAATTTCCCCAAATAAGAAAGATTCTTCTTATCTAGACTCACTACTGCAACTTAATCCATGGGCATGATTCTTTTCAAATATTATCTTTTTCCTGGTTAATATATTTTTTTCTTTTCATTAATACCCTACTTTGTATTGGACATCAATCTAACCACTCAGACACGATTAGCAAGCTAAATGTCTTACTTATTAAAAACGGTTAATTTTCCCATCTTAAAAAAATCGAGATGTTTGAATCTCTGAATATGCTCATTTATCACCAATCCCTGACAATGCATCCAGGAGTTCTTGTGTAGGACATGAATAATTTTTATAAAAACACAGTTGCTGACTGTGTGGTACATCCACACAGCTTTATAAAACAAAGCAAATAATGACCATCAATTACAATAACCTCACTAGACAAGACTGCAATTAATCTACAGCTCTTCAGATAACGACCGCTGCACTGCATCAAGGAAAATGCCCGGCATTAACTGGTTTATCGTGATCAGCAATGATAGATGGGGCAGATGGCAATGTGATTATTCATTGTCAACACAATAAACAAATGCTTTGCAGCCGAAGTGTTTACCTAGGTCCTCTCAGAGGATAGCTCAAAATAGAGAACAAAGGCAGCTCTGAAAATAGCTCAAAATAAAAATAAACAGTTAATCTATGGATGAAATATACTTACTTAACTGGGGCTAACCCTTAGTAGAATCTATCTGGAAAATATTTTCCCGAAGGAGATCATGGGTTGAGTAGAGTTTTGGCATTAGAAGGTACAATAAAGCCCATAGCTCACTTGCTTGTTAGGATGAGTCACTTTTATGAAGTCCTCAAATTCCATTCCATGCTTAATAATTCCCGTGATGAGAATTCATTGTTTTCAGAGGCAGACTCATTCCATAGATAGATAACTCTCATTGTTAGAACATATATTTAGCTGACTGCCATCTCTCTGGAATTTTGGACAATTGACCCTAGGTTTTCCTCTCATCCCACATAGAAGATATTAAACTCTTCTTGCTCACTAAAGCCCTTTATTTATTTTTATTAAGTAATTATTTTAAAACATCTTTATTGGAGTATAATTACTTTTCAATGTTGCATTAGTTTCTGCTGTATAATAAAGTGAATCAGCTATATGTATACATATAGCCCCATATCCTCTCCCTCTTGCATCTCCCTCCCACCTTCCCTATCCCACCCCTCTGGGTGGTCACAGAGCATCACCGAGTTGATCTCCCAGGGCTAAATGCAAGCATACCTTGTTTTGTTGCACTTTCTTGTACTGTGCAGATACTGTGTTCTTTACAAATTAAAGTTTTGCAGCCACCCTGCATTGAGCAAGTCTCTTAGTGCCATTTTTCCAATAGCATTTGCTTGCTTATGTCTCTGTGTCATATTTCGGTAATTCTTGCAATATTTCAAAGTTTTCATTATTATTACATTTGTAAAGGTAGTCTGTGATCAGTTCTTTGATGTTACTACTGTGACTCACTGAAGACTCAGATGATGGTTAGCATTTTTTAGCAATAAAGTATTTTTAAATTAAGGTATGCACAATGCTTTTTTAGATATAGTGCTATTGCATACTTACTGTAGTATAGTATAAACATAACTTTGATATGCACTGAATTCACGTGACTTGCTTTATTGTGATATTCGTTTTATTGCAGTGGCCTGGAACCTGCAATATCTTTGAGGTATCTCAAAAATCAATGCCTATCCAACTCTTTCCACATGACATGTTTTGGTGCTTTCAATATTCTGGATTTTTGCACCTAAACTCACACCAGTTTTTAGACCACTCATACTCAGGGGCTCGGAAAGAAATGTGATATATCTGATGTGGTGTACTCAGAGCAAAGTGTAACTATTTGTGCTGAGGCTGAATGTCAATTTTTCCTTGGAGCAGGGGATGTGTGCGTGGCTGCTCTGCTTGGGAAGCTGTTCTCCAAACACCATTAGTCTAGATAGCACCCCAGCTCTGCCATGTCCAGGGGGCAATTACTTCGGGTGCGCCTTTTAAAATTTTGTGCAGGATGGCTTTGTTGATTAAGTCCTCCTTCTTTAGAAAACTGGGATAATTCAGGCAGAAACTGAGCTGAAATTGACACAGTGGTCACTAACCAAATTCTGTCGCAAAAATTTTTACAAATGCACATTCCTGGACCACTTCTCTGCAGACTAATTCAGCTGCTTCCGGAGGATTCAAATGTAAATATTTTGGCAATTTTCCCCAGTTAATTCTAATTCGCAACTCTGTTTAAATGCTTTTTTCATTGAGAACACTTAATAAGGTACTACTGAGGGAGTGCTTCACAAACCTAATATTCATACTCTCCTGGGAGCTTTAAAAATGCAGGTTCTTTGGAGCAGCTGATACCTGTGGTCCGGGGTAGGTCTAGGAAAATTAATACATCAAGATCAAATTGTTATATGTTTCCCTTAAGGGTTTTGGAAGCCCTCATTTACTCCAAAATTGTAGTTTATATACAAGTTACAAAGCACCCTTATTATATATTGAAGACACAAGCAACTTTAGGAAATTCTACAAGGTAAAGGTTTTAGCCTGGTAACCATCTATATTTTTTCACTCATTCATTTAATAAATTCATTCATAAATTCATTTTTATTCTGAGACAATATTGTGATAGGCACTGGAATTTAATAGTTCAGTAGGGGAGAAAAACAAAGAAATGACAGCAAATAAACGTCAGTCAACAAAGAAAATGAATACAAATCTTAAAATAACGTATTTAAAAAGGAAGAGTTTATCTAATTTTAAATAGTCTCTAATTCAGACTGGCAGTCCCCCAGTCATTCTCAGTTCATGAGTTTTTGCCCTGCTTTCATCATATTCCCTGCTATATGTTAGTTCAGGATCTGTAACTCTTCAGAATTTCCCATTACATTCTCATGTCCCTTTGGCAGACATCCCTAATCATCCCTAGCTTTTTTTCCCTACAGATTCAGGAAGGAGACTCATATGCCTGCTCAACCCGGTCCTCTATGCAGCCATTACTAATAGACCACAGATGAAATCCACGTGCAGCTTCCCCCATGCACAGTGCTTTGACACACCTTGGCGACTTTGTTGTTCCTCATTTCCAGCTTTATCTTTGTTGTCTATCAACTATTGAGTACTTCTAGTGATCCTTACATCTTTAATCCCACTTAATTTTCAAAACAACCTGGAGAGGTATATAAACTCAGCCTTAGAAGGATCAAGTAACCATCTCAAGGTCACACAGTTACTGTGTATCACAGCAGGAGGTACAAACTCAGGTTCTTTGATGCCAAAGCTGATGTTCTGAAACTTGTTCTGCATTGCTTCTCTTCTCAGCCCAGTTCAAAGGGCACCTCCTCTGTGAAACTTCTCCTGCACGCTTCAAGGAAAATTTGTCACTTCTTCCTTAGAGTTGGCCAAGGCCTTTGTACACCTCCATTACAGCATGACATTATACTTTAATGATTTGAATATAGTATTCTTTGAGTTCCTCTGTGGTAAGAACTATGTCTTTATATATATATATATATATATATATATATATATATATCCGTATCCCTGGTAACTAGCACAGTGCCTAGGTAGGTTCTCAGTTGATGCATTTTGAATGATCATTAAAATCTGGCCACTGGACTCATTCAGCTGTGGATCTCTTTCTCAGTGTGTGGCCTTACTATATTAAAAACAATGCCACGTTTAAACATGATCTTGATTAAAAATGTTAAAAAGACCAAGCCAATAGTGAAATACATACTTCTGTTATTTGAAGACCTTCTTGACATCAGTTATTGAGGACTCTTAAACAGAAACCTAGTTACAAGATATTTAGCATATAAGGACACCTGACCTTTAGTTGATAACCACCCTCAAGTATAAGGGAGGTAAAAGAGGTCAAATTAACTACACCCTGCTTATCAAGTGTCATATGTCATAGCACACATGATATTTGTTTAAATTGTGGCTCTTGTCCTATAACTGAAGGTGTGGTTTGGCTCACTGATGTGGCCTGAGTTCTGTCTGGGCTGATGATAGACACAGTGACACTCACCATTAATGGCGGCACATTCTGCAGAAACTCAGACTATTTAGTTCCCTGACATTTATTTCGCTATACGTAATAGTTTTGTGCAAATAAGACCCATTCTGCCAGAAGGGAGAATTATGGAATCTATGCAAACATATGTGACATATAGGGGGCTGATTGCATAGATTGCATAGATAGGTGTAAATGAAGATGTACATGTAAGGTGAGGGTTTAGGATTGAAATAATGATCTGGCAATATCTTAGGGCATTAGTCACAAGAGAGCTGTCTCTCAATGTCTCAGGAGGAAATATCAAGTTTCACTGTGGTCTTCCCTGGAAAACACTGGAAGCTCATTATAAACTTCTATGTCAACTTGCAAAAGACAGATGGAGAAAGGAGGCATAGACCTTCTTATTTCATAGATGCAAGAGCAGTCTTTCCATCTGTCATCACACCTTGGATATAAATAAGCATCAAATCTTATTAATTGGCACTTACCCGTAGTACTTCAATAACCTCACATACCTCCCCAGAGAAGGCTTGTCCGTTGAGGAGGTGCTCTGACCCTTGGCTATCCTCACTACCAAAGTGTAGCCGGACCTCCTCCAGCCGGTGGCTGTATGTCATGGGCCCTCCTGATACGTTGACCAAGTGCTCCTTGTCCAGGCGCAGGGACACATGTCTTCCAGTGTTGTACATGGTCCCACTGACCTGCAAGGCAATGAGCAACAGGTCAAACAAGACTCTCCTCCTTCCATTTCTCACAATTTCTCACTCAACCCAGCATGGTGCTTAGACCAATGCCTTTTGCTTCCTTTTGATAGGAAGACACTAGGCTAATTCCACATGTGGAGTAGGGAGTGACAGCCTCCCCAGAGAGCACTTTTGCCCTACCTGGCATCTATGGTACTTTCTGTGAGTCATAAGCCACATTATCATTTAGGAATCTGAGGTAGGAACTCAAAGGAAACCTCATCAACTGTGACTAATATTTTGGACATTGCACTTATAAAGAATTAAATTGTCTTCTTACCATAAATATTTGGAATGTAAAGATGCTGCAAAAGTTAAAATCTCAGGTGTGAGAAATTGGAGAGAGCAGTTAGTAAGGATGAGATGCTACAAAGACCAAAAGAGAGACAAGTAAGCTAAAATGAGTGAATAGGAACAAACCTTAGGGGGAGACTGAGGCTTAGGTTTATAGTCTCAAGCATTCAGTATGGTGTGTCTTGGTTTAGGTCCTTCTCTAACTGCTGCAACCAGACACTGCAAAGAGTCAGAGCTCTGATACTTTCTTGCAGTTTGTGGCCTCAGTGCTAAGCTAAAGAGATTCATATAAGCTTCCCATTTCACAGACTTCCTATTCTATCTTGCTTCAGCCCCTGCCCGCTGAACCTTACTGCTTGGGGTTTCTTTCCCTCCTTTTCTCTTGAACTTGATGCTCAGCTTCATTTTGTTGATTATGACCATAGCACTTCTCAACATTTGATTCTAGAACACTGATTCCTACCTGTGAGTCTATTGTCTTAGTCTTCTGTGTTGACTTAGCTCTAGGAGCAGATTGAAAACTTAAGGGAGACTTTGAATGGGTCTGGATGGAATGCTTCTGGGCTATGGGTTGCTGAGCTACTTGGATTTTCTACCTGCTTACTCTGACTCCTTTGGGCCCAGCCCTAGGGATCCTTTAAGGCAGTGGTCCCCAAAATTTTGGCACCAGGGACAGGTTTCGTGGAAGACAATTTTTCCCACGGACTGGGGGGTGAATGTTTCAGGATGATTCAAGTGCATTACATTTATCATGCAGTTTATTTTTATTATTATTACATTGTAATATATAATGAAATAATTATACAACTAACCATAATGCAGAATCAGTGGGAGTCCTGAGCTTGTTTTCACTTACCACTCACAGATAGGGTTTTGATATGAGTCTGCAAGCAATTGATTTATTATGGTTCCTGTTCAATCAAACCTCTACTAATGACAATCTGTATTTGCAACCACTCCCCAGAGCTAGCATCACTGCCTCAGTTCTACCTCAGATCATCAGGCATTAGATTCTCATAAGGAGTGCACAACCTAGATCCCTCACATGTGCAGTTCACAGTAGGGTTTGCACTCCTATGAGAATCAAATGCAGTGCTGATCTGACAGGAGGCAGAGCTCAGGTAATGTTCAAATACCAAAATACTCCACTGACTCACTATAGCACCATCTTGCTATAAGGTGGAGCCCATGTGCTGCTGTTGGCCATGGTCTGTGAGGGAACATGACCAATGAAACAGTGAAAAGCTTATGTAAGATTCTCCAGTCTCTTTCTTCCCCTGCTTCATCAATCAAGGGGCAATGTGGAAAGTTGTAAATGTGGTATAGCTACAAGATGGAGGCTGTGTCAGCCTGAGTCGCTGGCAGATTATGTGCAGATTGCAAAAATGGCTAGAATTCTTCCACTCCTTGTAACTACACTACTTACAATGTGACCTTGTAGCTGTTCCCATCAAGATAGGGCCATCTGTTTCTCCACCCCTTGAATCTGTACTGGCCTTGTCACTTGCTTTGGCCAATAGCACGTAGTGGATACAACATGCTTATTCTGAGAGTAGGCCTCTAGAGGACTTGCACGTGTCCTTACTCCTTTTTGGAAACTCGAGACCACCATGCAAACAAGCCTGGGCTAGCCTGCTGGAGGATGATCCAGAGTGAGGAGAACTATCCCAGGAGAAGCCATCCTAGGCTGGCCATTCCACGACTGATCCACCAGTTGACTGTCTTAGTCTGGCCTGGGCCAGAAGAATTTCCCACAGACCATAGCTTCCCATATACTGGGGAGCTAAAAATTTGGTTGTTTTCAGTCCCTAAGCTTTGAGATAGTTTGTTATAGAGCAAAAACTAACTGATATACACTAAGTCAATCATCTTCTCTGTCATGTGACTCTGGAACTATCAACAGAAGCTCTGGACAGTCTTTGTTGAGTAGCTGAACTAGAAAGTCACTTGGGGCTCAGACAGTCAGTCTGCTAATCAGCTGGAAAGTCATACCAGAATAAGAGAAGAAAGCAGCAGATATGCCAAGAGTGACAGAGGAAACCATGCAGAGATAGAATTAGAGAGAATATCAACTTCACCTTCAGAAACCCTTTGTATCTCTTTGTTCCAGTTCCTTCATGAGGCCTGGGCTGTACTTTCTCTGATACTTTACATCTTACAAAGGGATTTATTTTTTTCTTAAATTATCTATTCCTTGCAACCAAATGATCCCTATCAAAGACTCTATGTCTGTTCTCCAGTCTCAAATAAATGTATATTCAGTCAGTATGACATAATGAGAGTTTGTTTTCTTTTCTTGTCCCAATTTATGACTTTCTTTGCAGTAAAATGATAGAGATAGATTTGTGTTTGACACTGCATTCATCTTTAAGCAAAATTTATTTTTTCTAATTATTAAGATAATATACAGGTATTATACATGGGTAGGAAGACAGAGAACAGCTCAATGAAATAAAAATTAGCCAAAATTCTACAGTAAACCAATAATCACCACTAATATTTTGGTGTATAACTTTTCACACTCATAACCGTATATATCTATATTTTAATGGGATCATTTTATATGTGTGATAATAAATGCTTTTCACATACAAGGGTATATGATTTTATATATATATATATAATATATAATAATTTAATATATATAAATTTATATATTTAATATATTATACACAACACACATATAATATATTTAATATATTTGTTACATATTTATACATTAATATATATATAGTACATATATATTATTTTTAGTCACATGAATATTTCTAGGTTATTAACTGTTCTTTTGCAATATCACTTTGAAATAGCTTCATAATATTCCACTGTAAACATATATGACTTATTATTGAATCTTTATAGCCCTTTCACTTTTTCACTATTGTTAAAAAATATTACAATGAGATATAGAGAGCAAACTAGTGGTTACCAGTGGGGAGTGGGAAGGAGGGAGGAGCAATTTAGGCGTAGTAGAAAAAAAGGGTTAACATGGGATTATATGAAATCATCTTTGTGAAACTTTTGAAAATTGTAAAGCACTACACAATTTAAAGAATCTTTCACTCAATTAAAAAAAATACTGCAATGAACATCGTTATGGATAAACATTTTTACTAGTGCAGATATTTCATTAGGCAAACTCTGTGTCAGACTGTGTATACATTATTACAGTGCTTATTATCTAATGCAAAATCCATTTGCTGTGGAGTGTAGATCCCACAGAGCAGGGCTGGATCTCAAATTCTCTTCAAATTGCATTAATTCAACAAGCAACATCCATGGGCCCCTATAGTATGCAAGGCTGCATAACAGGAGCTGCTTCAAATTCTTATAGGATATGTGCTCTGTTCCAATGAGCAAGTATATCAGGCTTCCCCATACTTCTAAAAATCCTCTCAATGTGTCTGTCTAATGTTCCTAAGAAAATTGTTGCCCATTGAAGCAAGGCAGGGACCATGTCCTATGCTTGTCTGCATTTCCCCAGTAATTAACACAATGGCACACAGTAGAGAGAAGAATAAAGGACTCTTGAGTCAAAAGATTCCCAGTCTGCCTCTTGGTGACCTTGAGTAGTTCAGTTAATTACCTGAAGCCTCAGTTTTCTTAATTGTAAAATAGAGATAAGACAATTTCCCCTATGAAAATGAGGAATAAAAAACTATAAGGCTTATAGAGAATGAATATGAGAATGATAGAGATAAATCCCTCCTTATCAGTAATTACTTATTGATTCCACTTACATGAAGTCCTAGAGTAGTCAAAATCATAAAGATAGAAAGTAGAATGGTAGCTGCCAGCGGTGGGGTGCAGAGAGGAATGGGAGTTATTGTTTAATGGGCATAGAGTTACAGTTTTGCAAGATGAAAAAAATTCTGGAGATGGACGGTGGTTGTACTTAATACTGCTGAACTGTTTAAGTAAAAATGGTTAAGATGTGTACTTTACACACGTAAAAATTGGAAAAAATTCCCTCATGAGTTTGTTGTGAGAATTAATACATTTAATGGTCAAACATTTTCATTCTTTTCCTTCATTTACTTTTGAAAATGGGTGCCTAGCTGACCTTGCAGGACCTGTGTTGATCTTACCCACTTCCCATAGCCCAGTGGAATATAGTGTTGCTTTCTAAAAGTCACAATGAAGAACTTGTACCGACTTCTGCATTGTGATGATTCACTTGTCTCTCATTTTGGATTTTAAAGCTCCAGTTGTGGGAAGCATCCAAGATCATTTTGAAGGCCATGAAGCAAACATGAAACCAGGGTAATCAGGAATAAACCAGTGCTTTCTAGTTCTTCCACTCCATACTTCCATACTCCTTCTACTTCCATGGCTCTATCTTCATTCATTCATCTGACTGTGTGCTAGGAGCTGAGGATAGTGTGGTGAGTAAAACCAGGCATGGTCCCTGCCCTCATGGAGCTTACAATCTCCATTATGAAGACAACAGAGTGGGAGAAGGAAGTTATGGGGAATCCATATGAAATTCTACCATTTGCGTATGTGTTCTCACAATTAGAGGCAATACACCTATTCCCCCACCCTTCCCCCAGACATTGAAATAACATTAATTTATATTAATCAAAAAAAGCTGTGTAACCAGGATATGGTTTGTTGCACTTTAATTTTTTTTAGAAAAGGCTTGACAGTATTATGTATGATAT